GAACGGGTGTTGGGTTGCAGCGGTGTGGTCGGGGGGAGTCAGCGAGGGTTGTCTCGCCAGGGTGACCGACATGGGGAGGGCACAACGCCGTGAGCATGAGGCTGCCGCGGACCATGTGCAGGACACATTCAGGGCTCGCTCCCCTGTCTATCGGTACCTGGTTGTCGGCCAGAAGGTCGACAACAAGGGGGTCATGATGCTCCGTTGCACGTTTTGCAACAAAGTTTTCCAAGGAACCCAGTTTCAGGCCACGAGGCACTTCTCGCAGACAAACTACTGCAAGGACGTCAGCGACGTGGCGTTGTACGAGATTGCTCGACGGACTCAACAGAAGTTCGAGGCCGATCAGATGGACAGGGTTGCGAGGTATGCAGCGGAGCGCGGACTCGATGTGCCCGGCATGGGTGGTGCAAGGGGAGGAGAGGCGGGGCGGCGTCCGACGGAGGGAGGGGTCGGGGGAGATGGTGGGCATGGTGCGGCAGACCCCACTTTGGGTGGTGAAGGCGGTGAGACAGAGGAGGGCGTGATCAACGTGGATCGCGAGGCGCGTGGCCCGGGTGAGGAGGGAGTCCTGGAACGGGAGGACGTGCCTAAGTTTTATCCAGGCACTGGCGAGAGGTTGGAGGACTGGCAGAGGCGAGCAGGCAAGGGAGCTGCAACGGAGGGGTCTTCCAAGAGGAAGGAAGGAGGGAGTGATCCGGCTGCCACCCCAGCAGGGAAGAGGCTTCCCCAGCAGAAGATGATTGATGTCTATGGTGGCGAGTGGGTTGCTCGCCACAAGAAGGCATTCCTTCGCTGGTTGTATTCCAGCGGGGTCTCCTTCAATGCCTTCCACAACCAGGTGTGGAAGGCATATCAGCAGGTGCTTCTTGAGCAGCCTGGCAGTTCCCCGCGCGCAGTGCTTTCCAACCACTGCGAGATTGCGAGTATGCGGGCGGTGGAGACCCACCATGCGGAGTTGGCGGAGGAGTTGGAGGAGGTGAGGCAGCCATTTTGGGTGACCGGTGCCACCCTCCTCTCCGATGGGAGGAAATCACGAGACGGGAGACCGATCGTGAATTTCCTTGCTGCTGGCTCTCGAGGGGTCGTCGTGTACACGGCGATCAATCGAGAGGGCGAGGCGGACGATGCAGTGCACGTCCTTCGGAGATGGGTTACCATCTTCCACGAGTTCAGCTTCGGCGGGCCGCAACGGATCAATGCGATATGCACTGACTCCGCTTCTGCCTATGTGGGGGCTGCAAGGGCATTGACCTCGCCGTCCATGCTTTTTGCACTGAGGAGGATTACTTGGCTCCCGTGCTCCGTCCATGTCTGCAACAAATTGTTGTCAGACATGGGGACGAGTTGCGACGCGTTTGTGGACGCGATCACACGCGCTCGTGTGCTGGTGGTGTTTTTCAAAATCCACCACGCCGCCCTTCATTTTTTTAGGACGCGCAGCCCCGACAAGGGGCTTATTCTTTCATGTGAGACGTGGTTCGCGTCTGTTTACTCCATGCTGGAGAAGCTGTTGGCCCTGCAGGACACTCTTCAGGACATGATGCGAGGGGACGACGCGCGGGCTTTTGCTTCCATCCCGTGGTCCGCCGATGTGTGCGTCATGGCGCGTTGGGTGCGCCGACAGATCAGATGGGATCCATGGTGGCAGAGGGTGGCCACCATCGTCCATATCATGCAGCCCATCATGGAGTTGCTCAGGCGGATGGATCGTGGAGGACAGTACATGTCCCTCATGATCGAGTGGACGCAGGATCTTGTCCGCCGTGTCACGGTCGCATGCGCCCCTTTGGGAAAGTCGTTCGCCGACCGGATCATCAGGCGTGTGCAGGCTCGCATACAGCACATGCTTGAGCCGACTCACTGCGCAGGGTTCTTACTGAACCCCCGCGGGCGACACGTTCGCTACTTTTCGGGGCAGGTGGAACGGTACGATGCTTGGCTTGTGGGGCAAGCCAAGAGGTACATTTTGACGCAGACGAGATTCGAGTTGGAGGGTGCGGAGTACATCCTTGCATGTCGGCAGTTTGAGGACTTCCACATTCAGCAGGGCAGGTTCGGGGATTGGGGCGGTCCGGAGGGGCGTGCTCGTGGGCGCTCGTGCAGCGGCGACAGCGAGACGATTGAGTGCGCGTCTTGGTGGTGGCAGTATGGGTCTCGCGCGCCAGAGTTGCAGCGTTGCGCTCTTCGGGTCATGCACATGTGGTCTTGCGCCTCTCCAGCGGAGAGGAACCGGGCAGTCCACGAGGGCATTCACACGAAGAAGTGCAACCAGTTGGCCTTCGAGGAGATCGTGCAACTCGTTGAGATCACCGCAAATGTGCGGTTGACTGAGTATCGGCGGGCTGGATGCGGTTATGTGCTTCCATGGCAGCGGGACGAGGGCATGCTGGATTGCCAGGCAGGACTTGAGTTGGAGCCTGTGCGCACGGGGACTCGCAGGGGGAAGACGAACGAGGAGATTGCCCGTCAGGTTGCACTTATTACCCGGGATCCCATCGCGGCGTCCGCACCACCCTCGGTTGATGCCGTTTTCGATAGACGTGCTTGCATTTTTCGTCCCTACCCCAGGGAGGATGACACAGACGAGGAGCCGATACCCGAGGCGGCAGATGACCCCACGCTCCGCATTCCCCGGGAGATCGACGAGACGCACGAGGATCCCAACTCCGAGGAGACGAGGGCACAGACTGCACGACGGGCGGCAGACCGGGCGGAGAGGGAGATGCTGGGGGGAGACGAGGACTTTTGGGGCCCATTCGGAGAGGTCGCTTCCACGGGCGGCCCAGAGGCGCAGGCGACGACCCCCACTCCGACAAGGCGGGATTCGTCCATGCCGCCACCTCCTGCTCCGAGTCCTGCACCACGATCGCCCGTCTCGCCACTTTAGCCGGACAGGGAGGAGTTTGCAGTCCGCCAACTCAGGTTACGATCACCTTCCCCGGGGATATTGCAGGAGGAGGGGGCACCTTCGGCAGCAGCAGTGGAGAGTTCGGTGGCACCAGCGGCGGTGCCGGACGTGACGATCGCGGCCGCGGTGGAGGAGATAGCAGCAGCAGCAGCATCATCAGTGCTGGAGGAGATAGCAGCATCAGTGCTGGAGGAGGATCCACCAGCGGCAGGAGGAGGTGCAGCAGTGGAGGGGCAGGTGGCAGCAGCAGGAGGAGCAGGCTGAGGAGCAGCAGAAGTGGAGGTTGAGGTGGCAGCAGCAGTGGAGGAGGAAGAGGCACCGTGGGGGCGATGACGAGCGCCTCATGCAGCAGTTCCTCACGGAGGAGCTCGGTCCGGCCATAGCGGGTATGACCCCGGATGTGGAGAGGGGGTTTGGGATTTCAGATTCGGAGATGGGGACCCACTTAGACTTAGATTTGTCGATGGGCCTTCCACCCAGTTGCAGCGGGGCGACATCGACGGACCGGGCTCCATCGAGGGACGAGGCGCCAGGCAGGACTTCGACGCAGACCGCGAGAGAGAGGACGAGGACAGAGTCTCTAGATGCAACACACAACATCATGGAGCGAGAGAGGGCTAGACTTTTGGCATCGACTGACCCTCGTGCTCAGGCGTTCGCACGGGCCGTAGAGGAGGCCAGGCGTCTAGAGATAGGGGGGGATTGTGTGCAGGGTGGGGTGGTGGCGGGGGATGACGTTGCGGAGGGAGTGGCAACAAAGCCGGTACTCGAGGCTTTGCCGGGTGGAGCGGAGACAGCGGACATTGCTGTGGAGGGACGGACTCAGGCGGTGGATGAGGCTGTGCAGGCAGGACAGCGATGAGTCGAGGGGGCTATAGACGCACGGCGCGAGAGGTAGGAGACAGCGACGGGTCCAGTCGTTCCGTTCTCGGGCCTGCACTTGGCTCAGGCCCGACAGCCGCAGGCGGTTCAGATGGCAGTGCATGGTGTGGCACCGCCCGTTATCACGGATTTGGGGTCCGAGCCGGTGGTTGGGCCCCCACGTCTTCCTAGCCACTTTGCTCCGCAGGAGGTCCGTCGTCCTTTGGATGAAGAGGAGTTGGCGAGAGAGGCTGTACGCGATGTTACTCGCTTGGACCGGGGGATCTTCAACCAGAGGCTCGAGCACCCACCATGGCAGTCGATCCCTTCGGTTCCATGGGGTCCTGTGTCGCCCATGTGGTCTGGGTCTACCTCCACCGGAGGACATACCGCGGGACATGTTCCAGGGGTTTCGGGTGGCGTGACGGAAACAGCGCCACGCACAAGAGACATGCCACCCCCTCCTCCCAGAGCACCTACAGGTGATCCATCATCATCGCCCACAGGCCAAGGCTTTCGATCCCCACACACGTCTGGGAGATCTAGGATTCGTGACATGACAACAGTTCAGTAGGACGTGTGTGACACGACGATATTCGGGAGGATAGATATAGATTTGGATTCCACCCGTCGTGTCACGGAGCACACTGCACTCCTTCAGCCGGGCTTGGGAGGAGGAGGCGCTAGGACAACCTCGGCGAGGGAGGTACCGGCATCTGGCAGAGGAGTGTCGACCGAGACCTTGGAGTACGCTCTGAGAGCAGCGACGCGTGCTGTGCAGGAGCAGACTCCACGCAAGCGTGGAGTGCCTCCTCGTCCACGGTCCGTGCCTGCAGAGGGAGGCACAACACTTGGAGAGAGTTCGGGGGCGGAGGGGTTGGGGATGCCTCCTGGTTCCCGCCGTGAGCAGACCATTGCAGAGGCTAGTGCGAGGGTTGTTGTGTTGAGGAAGGGAAGAGGCCTAGTCACCATGATCGAGGAGGATGATCCTGATACGGATGCGGCTGTGCGGGATGCGGACGAGGACAACGAGGGCGAGGAGGGGGGAGAGGAGGATAGCAGAAGCGGTTCCGATGGTGATGACGACAACGACTACGATGAGCCCCCACCTTCCCCAGGACCCCCACCGACGCGTGCATCTAGACGCTCCGCTGCACAGACTTCTTCATCCTCACGAGGGAGGAAGAAGTCGACATCCGACACTCGAGGGGGCACGAGGAGACACAGCGGGAAGGGGAAGAAGGGTCGTTGACCGATGAGGCCAACACTCCGCTTCTCCCCTACTCGCACTGTACGTCGTCATGTTGTGCGGTTGTAGTTTTTTTGGTAGTCTGAGTCGTCTCGTCTTGTCTCAATATTGTCAGACACTCAGTGGTTGTGTGCGTGCTTTACTTGTTGGTGTGTATGATTTTGGTAGCAGTAGGGTGTTCGTAGAGTATGATTTTGGTGTCAGTAGGCTGAGCTGGGTGTTCGTAGAGTGCCGTCGGTTGCAGCAGACTGAGTTAAGACTATACAATAATTTTTTTTTCTTGTATCATTTAGGCAGCTATGACACGACTTGTAGACTATTGTTTCTTGTATTTTTTTCGACATGTGGTGCCAGTGCATTAGCAGTAGGATACATTGTATCATGTTGCATTTGCATGTGTGATATTAGTGTCATCCTGTCAGGTACTTCGCATCGTTCACGACTTTTCATGTACATTACATTTTCTGTTACGAGTGATGCACGTTGCCTGCCCATTTTTTTGTCGGTGTGTGATTTTATATCTTTAATTGTTGTTCTTATTTTCAATTTCATTTCTCGCATTTTTTTCTTTTAATTTATTTATGGCTTCGAGACTTCGGTACTTGTTTTTTTTTTCTATCTTATTTGTTGATTCTATTTGCATTGAATGGAACACTACCTGATGTTTCGGGGGGTGCACAGTGTGGGGGGTTTTGTGGTGGGGTGGGGGGTGAGTGTAGGGGCGGGGGGGGGGGGTGTGGGGGGGTCGCCGGGTAGTGGGGGTTGGGGGTATTGGGGGTGTAGGGGTAGTGTCCGTTGTTCAGGGGTGGGTGTGAGGGCACTGAGGACAGTGAGGTGCAGTGGGGGTTGGGGGTCGTGGTGGGATTATGCAGGTCGGGGGGAGGGGGCCGGGTGGTGTGTTCGGGGTCAGATAGGGGTTTTTCGGTCCTTTAGGGGTGTTTTGGGGGGCGTGTCAATGGGGGGTGAATTTTTTTTTTTTTTTTTTTCTGGTTTGAGTGTTCRGGCACGTAGGCACACGTGTCCGAGGCCCAAAGCGCGGATTCCATTTTTCGGAATTCAACGCCAAGCCCCCGTTTTTGCGTTAAATGGGATTTAACGGGGGTCCAGGGGCCCGTTAAACGGATGAACGGGCATTGAATTTCGCCCGTTCTCCGTTCAAAAGATACACAGCTGGTGCCATCGTTGGTCATTACGACGATCGGGACACAATACAACGGACGCTAGTACCGACGCACACCGTGCTTGGGAATCGTGTGACATTTTTTGAAATTGGCGTAGTCCACATCGTCGACTGTCATGGACCAACGGACATCATCGTTTGTCCGCCTACAATTTGTTCCATTTGCGACGGAAGGCCTCAGGCCACCCTGATCTTCCCGTTTGGCCGTCCACGACGGCCTCACCGGTGATTTTCAAGGGGACCCTGGGCCGCGGCGCATGTAGAAACAACCCTCTATTCCTTTCCAACCCAACTGAAACGGGCCTGTGAGGTCTCCAAAAAATTTCCAAAACCTTTCCAAGTCTTCGCCGCAAAGCAGTGGGGTCCACATCTTAGCACGGGGATATTTCTGTTAGTCACAGGAAGAAACACGATCGTGGCTCACCCGGCACTCCCAACTTTCAATTCAAAATCATTTTCTGTCATTTGGCTAAATTAGGGAGGATACCCTTGTAAAGGTACTCGCGCAGACACCGCACTGACAGTTCGCCCTAGGGGCAAGTGTGCGCAGTCACATGGGTGAGGACCAAAAGAGTAAACTGATTTTTTTTTTTTTTTTAGATGGATTTTATTTATTTTTTCTTAAAAAGTACATGGGCCTGACTGCACGACTCTCCAAATGTGCAAAATGCAGCTGAATCCATCCCTAGAACATACGTAGATACATTGCCAATTTTGTTGTATTTCCTTTGGTAGGTTGTTTTCTTCATCCGCGATTTTTGCAATAAGGTAAGACGGGAAAAGAAAAGTAGAAACTTACTAGAAAGATCATTTGAGACCAAAATGGGTCCTCCCGTGGCCCCGCAGACCACTGACAGAAGAATCACCATTTTAGGCATTTGGGTAGCACTGTAGCAGGCCTCAGAGTCTCCGATGTGACCTGGAAAATTAGCGAAATGGACCACAGAAGGGACCATGGATTCCCATTTTTTCAGCATCGCCTCGCTACGACTTCACCGTACCACTATCGAAGCTTTTTTGGACCCAACGACGGATGAATTAGCCACCACCACAGCGCGTTGCGTAAGGATTGCTCAATCATTTTACAAGGACCTCTTCTCCTCCCACATCCCCCAACATCAGGACGAGGATCGGCGGAATGAGTTAGAGGATTTCCTACGTCCAATGGAGGGTTGTCTCTCTTCAGTACAAAGGGACCTCCAGGATCGTCAAATCTCCAAAGAGGAGATCTGGAAGGCACTCATGCAGATGGAGGAGGAAAAAACCCTTGGCATAGACGGCTTTCCCAAAGAATTCTGGGAGGCCATGTGGTCCCTCCTGAGTGACGACTTAATGGAGTTCTATAGAGCGGTGTGGCGCTCCGGTGAATTAGGAGAGCTAGTAGGACAAGGGGTGCTATCGCTACTTCATAAAAAGGGGGATAAAATTAACATCAGGAACTACCGCCCTATCACCCTCTTGACAGTGGTCTACAAAATGTTGTCAAAAGCTTTGGCCAACAGAATAATCGAAGTAGTGGAAGACATCATTCACCCAGCTCAAACCAGCTTCATTCATAATCGAAACATCCAGGAAAACATACTTCTTGTCAATGAGATGATTAGCTTGGCCCATCAAACCAAAAGCAATGCCGCACTCATCTTCATTGACTTCGAGAACACATACGATCACGTTGACTGGGTGTTCCTGGATAAATGTTTGGAGCGACTGACCTTTGGTCACAATTTTCGAAGATGGATACATATTCTACATCATAGCGCAACCACAAGACTCCTGATTTAATTTAATGGGTCGATGGCCCCAGAAATAAGGTTGCAGCGGTCAGTCCGACAAGGGGACCCTATCGCCCCCTTCCTATTCGTTATCATCATGGAAGCTCTAGCAGCCAATCTCCGTCAGTGCAAAGACTTAAAAAGAGTTGGGATTGCCAGCATCCCGGAGGATGCTGTTCCAGTTTGCTCCTTATTTGCGGACGACCTCACGATCATGGTGGATGCTACACAACAAAATATGGAAATAATATACAGACTGATGACCCTTTTTGGCAACCTCTCAGATATGGTTGTCAACTGGGGACACAAAACGATAGGTTGGTGGCTTCACCATCAAGGGGGCCGTCCTCCGGAAGGACACCATATTACTTGGGTTGCCCCTGAATCCCCCATTCGGATCCTAGGGGTAAAGATGACGGCGTCAGGCAGACCCCCCGAAAATGACAAGTAGATATCAGCCCCGACTGGCGCTAAACTTTCAATATGGAACCACCAACATCCCTCACTCTTCGGCCGAGCCCTAGTGATCAATAACGTTGTTTTGGCCACCCTTTGGTACAAGTCGGTACTATGGCCTCTAAGCCCGGGGGCCCTAAAGTCCCTGAAAAGGAAGTTGGCAGCCTATCTTTGGAAAGGGGACAGTGAGAATCCCCATGCCATCAGTCGGGTCGCATGGGACTCAGTCACCCAACCCAAGGCGAGGGGTGGCCT